GATTTGTTACCTTGCCTATATGATGATGCGATTTTGCGAAAAATCTCAAATTGTTGTGATGCAATCGCTTCTTCAAATTCCGGGTACTTTTCACGAAAATTCCCCTGAGCAGTGAAATGGATATGAACCTAATTCTCACTATTCTTCTTTTTTCTTGATAATAAGGTGAAGGACGCTTATTGTTAATGTTGAAGGACAAGTTCTTAATCATCGAGGACTGTCACGTTATATTCTAAGGCTTGGTTTTTGAAAACTTGTACAACATTGAACTTGTGTGCATAGTTAAAAAAAATAGTTGCACTGGGTATAGAACTTCAAAATCTCAGTTACTCTTGACTAACTCGCAAAATCTGACTCAAATCAGAGAGGGAGAAATAGTAAGATTGAAAGTTATGTTCAATGTCTGCTCCGGGAAATTTTCACGAAAGGTAGTCCAAATCTAAAGGCGTGATTGTATCACAACAATTTGGGAGTTGTCGCAGAATCGCATCATCATTTGAGCAATAAGTAAATCAAGTGCAGCACTTCGTGAATATCAAACATCGAGTTCTGTAGGAATATGGTTGGGCTTTGGTGATTTTGGAGCTCGTCCGTCAGTATCAGCAATTCAAAGTTTGTAAGAGCCTTCTTCACCTCTTTCAGAAGTTTTCAAGACTTTTGCGTGGCATGTATAGAAGCTTGTAAACTCAATCCAGCTGTTTGTTGAAGCAGATTGACTTTGAATGCTTTTGAGGGGGAGAAAATTCAGATGATTGTTTATCCCTCGAATTTTTTAGAGTCAAAGAATGCAAGAAATGCATTGGTGGCTGAAAAAAGCAAGTGGATACAGTGGTGTCCAGCCTGATTAGGGCTTTTTTAAAAATTTCTCTTTTTTACCGTTTCGAATCAACGAGATTGGAAGCGGTTTTGATGAATGGTGGTAGGCTTGCAAGTATACAACGCAGCAAAACTTCAAATAGATTCCACTGTCAAAAAAGCAAATCATGGCGATATTTAGAGTGGATTATGATAGTGTTTAGCACTGTATTGCTCTTCGAAGCTTACGCCTTCTAAAAAGTAAATGTGAGATGATGATGGTCCAGTAGACTTGTTATCAAAAATCGCTGTTCTGCAGTTCTCAATGGCCATACCTGACTAACTACAAAAATCTGATGCTATCTCAAAGTGTGGTCCATTTTGCGCCACTTAGCAAGCCGTAGAGCTTCTTGTACCAGATTCAACGCTACCAAACTACCGACCAAACTTGGCACACATACACTTCGAGACGGGTCGGATGTCATAGGCCACTTTTCGTCATCGATTAATATCGATTTTATCGATTTTTATCGATTTTTTCGCACAGATCACCCACGGGGCTGGGAGTTGGCAGGAGGGGGGGGGGGGGTGAGTGAGCATGGGGATTCCGAATACGATATTGGTTTCCAAAATTATCCATTACTTTTATCGATTTCTTGCAAAGTTTGAGCTACGCGGCTGGGATTTGGCGTAAGGGGTAATCGAGCATGCTGATTACGAATACTAAATTAGTTTTTGGTATTGCCTATTACTTTTATCGATTTTATCAATTTTTTTCAGATGAGTTGAAAGGCTGGGAGTTGGCACAGGGGGGTAAGTGGGCATGCTGATTTCGAAAACAACACAGGGAACGGGAAATGAAGTGTAGGAGTGGGCACAGGGAAAGGCTGTACAGGGATAGGGATGGGACCTTTATCACAGTGTTTTGACAGGGCCGGGCTAAGCCGGGTAAGCCAGCCATTATCGATAAAATCGGCCGAAAGAAAGAGCTCTTATGAAACGACATTGTGACAGCGCTTCCTCAGCGTACTTCAACAAGGTCAAAAAAGTGTGGGACTTATAGACAGCGCTATGACAAGAATACGATAAATCATCAACCAGTATAAAACCCGCTCAAATGAGAATCTAGCTTTATATTCATTAAATGTTTTCGTTTGTGCTCGTTGTTCTCCTTGGGCTATCATTGCCCGCACGCAAGCGCTTGAATGTTACAACGGTGAGCTGTTGTATCAAATCGTAATTCCACTTGAACAAACAAGCTTGCAGGCCGTGTCCTTAAGTCTTAAGATTTTTGCAATTTCAAAGAAATGAAGACCCTCTATAAACATATATTTGATCGCACCATATTCCTTGAAGACAGTGCCCCGACAAAATTTGCACTTCCACATTTCTGCACGTTTCAGGGCTTTTTGGCGTAGAATCTGAATTCGAGCTTTAAGCCGGGTGAAAAGACGGTTTTGGAGCGTTTACCCACTTTCCAAATGTCAGGTCACAGGAGAGTTTCAACGGAAGTTGGGAGACTCTGGCACGAAGACCCTGTCGCCTGTAGTTTTTGCTTTAGATGGTATGCACAATACGGGAGAGGTCATAGGGTCCGCGTCGAACAGGTAAGCGAAGTTGTTCGAGCGCGTGCCGGTCCGGCGCAGGGGAACATCAATCAGCCGGACTAGGAGTACAGATCAGTGAGGTAAAAAAACAAACCCCACCATAGCTATATCCCCCAGGATGTGAATCTGCTAGGACACTACCTTCGAGACTGCCTTTTTAAACCCTCTGCAAGTGTACAACGGGTTATCTGCTCCGCCGCAGGTACAACGTCGGCAAGGGGCGTTTCTCTAAAAAAACGTATAGAAAATTGAAAATTGAAATTCCGAGTCTAAACCTCTTTAAATGCAGTCTGACTAGAAAATGACAACTGGTCTGCCCCGAAGGGAGATGCATGTCACCAGGTGCACCTTCAAACGCTGATTCCAAATCTGCTTTTCTTTTCAAAGGAGCAACTCTCTGAAAGAAAGCATAAGCTTTTGGAAGTCTAAAATTGTCAAGTCTTAAGTGGCATGAAAGCAGCGAAAACCTGTCCAAAAACGCCTGCAATTGGGTAATCAATTTTGTATCAAGTATACTGACTACAAGGAAGTGTCTGTTGGTACTTTTCCTTTGTGAATGACCCTTTCCTTTGCTTGAGGCCCAAACAAATCGGACTTGACAGTGGTCTGAAAAGAAATCTGATAATATTCGTAACGCCGTACCTCAACTTTGGTGAGGCCCTACCTTTAAACGTCGGCAGATTGTAAGATTGGAAAGAAAAGAATATCGTGTTTCAAGCTAAAGCACTGGATAGCATGTACAATACGGGAGAGGTTATAGGGTCCCGCTCGAACAGGTAAGCGAAGCTGTCCGAGCGCGCACCGGTCCGGCGCAGGGGAACATCAATCAGCCGGAGTGGCAGTAGAGATTAGTGGGGTAAGAAAACAAACCTCACCATACACTCACCAAACCTCAGCTATATCCCCCAGGGTGCGAATCTGTCAGGATACTGCCTTTAAGACTGCCTTTTTGAATCCTTCGCAAGTGTACTACGAGTTATCTGCTCTGCCGCAAGTGCAATCACGTCGGCAAGGAGGCGTCTCTCTAAAAAGACGTAAAGAAAATTGGAGATTGAAATGTCAAGTCTAAGAAAATAACAACTGGTCTGCCCCGAAGGAAGATGCATGTCATTAGACGCGCCTTCAAACGGTGATTCCAAATCTGCTTTTCTTTTCAACAAAGCAACTCTCCGAAAGAAAACATAAGCTTTCGGAAGTCTAAAATTGTCAAGTCTCAAATGGCATGAAAGTAGCGAAAACCTCCAAAAAATCCTGCAAGTGGTTAATCAATTTTGTATCACGTATACTGACTACGAGGAAGGATCACAATCAGTTGTTCGCAGAAAAAGAAGGCAGATTTCGAGTCAGCATTTGTAGACGCGCCTAATGATATATAGTTCTTTTCAATTTATAAGATCTTGTTGTACTTTTCCTTTGTAAGTAACGCTTTTCTTTGCTTGAAGACTCAAACAAATCGGACATGGCAGATTTCCCGTGATCCCGTACCTGAACTTTGGTGAGGCACTGCCCCTGGTCGTCGACAGATTATAAGGGCAGTAAGAAAAGGATGTTGTTTTTATGCCAGGCAACAGAACGAACACTGAAGAATGTGGGAGGGGCGTATCGATAAGGCGAAACAAAACAGAACGAACATTGAAGATTGTTTATGGGGCGCTATTCGATAGGGCAAAACAAGCTTTGAAAGACAACTGTTGAGCATTTTTGTGCGACGTGTTCTAACAAGGTTTGGATTCAATCCATTGAGAGATTCATAACGTTGCAGATCGGATCTTTATTCCTTATTCTACAAGCTTTTACTTGCTATTGCATGTAGTAGACGTGCGCCCTTATCTCACTCGCTATACTCATGAAAGGAAAACGAAAAGCGGAAGAATTCCACGTCCAGCAGTACTGGGCTCCTCCCATATATGCAACTGTGTACCATCAATGCAATTGTGTACCCTCACAACTTGGCTTTCAAATGCTCCATTTCCTAGGAAATATCAATTTTGAACCAGAAACTTAAAAAAAAGAACACTCTTCTTTTTCTAACTTAATATTATACAATGTTATTCAAAATTTTGCTAGGAACTCTTTTGCCTTTTTTATGTATCATTCTGTAGAGCCAGCTTAAACTTAGATTTGCAGCAGGGAACGGCTTATCTCGCTCCCCATTACTATAGTATTACGAAGAGAACTACCTGCACAAGGCGTCATTGTGCAAAAGCTGTCGGCCTGCGAATTTTCACAAAAAAAACTGAAATTTTTCGAAGGGTTTCATCGACGCCGAGTTTAATACTCAACTTTGTACGGGATTGTAAAACTTTCTCTAGAAAATAAAACAATCGAAAACATCGAAAAATACGGCTATTACTGCTCACCTGGCATAACCTCTTGAAGGAACCAGGCAACTTAGACTAGTTTAAGAGTTTTCAGGTGTTCTTCTCTTTCTGGGCAAGATATGGCCCTTTGAGGCCCAAACCCTCTTCAGAGTTCTCTCCGTAATCCTACAGTGATGAAATGCGGTCGATGAACCCTTTGACATTCAAATCCAAGCTAAAGGCCAGCTTTACAAGGTGGTATTTGAAGGTAGGCAAAAGACTTCTGTGGAAAAGAGATATGAGCGATCAAACGGTGGGAACATATTTTTTGGGATATCCCTGTATTATGTCTCTCTTTCTCCAATTGCAGATTACAGGACTTAGAAACGGTTTTCCTCCACCGACAAGACAGTTATGCCCACCCGGAACGAGATATTGTTTAACGTATGATTCATTCACCAAACTTACACATAAAGTGCCCGTAATCGACGTTGCATATTTAGACAAACGTCGACAACAGAGTCCAAGCAAATAATCTCAACCCGATACAGCTGTGGTACTTTCGCTGATTGCAAGGTAAGCATTACAATTGTTTGAACGTGCGATTTCAGTCACTTCCTTCCTTGACGTCCAAGAATTTCATTCGCTATTTATAGGGTTACTCGGTAGAAAATAGAGACCCAGCTACGTAAGTGAAATTTTTTCCAGAAAAAAGGCTGCGAAACACGTAAACTTAATCCGCCGAACTATGCTCGCTACGTAAAAATGTGCTGCTGTGCTTCTGATGGTTGCAACAAAAGCTAAACAAAAGGGACACCTACAATAAGTTGTGCCAGTAATCTCCAAATTTTGGGCTTTTATTTTGGGCGGAATAAATTTGTTTGCAGTGTTTTTTCAAGAACAGACCGATCAATCTATTCAAGTCTAGTAGTCGCAAGTTTTTTAGAACATTTAACAAGTGTACAATTAGAAATGACAAGCTTAGCACTCACACTTACCTGGTGTACCGAAATGTACTAGACTTAACCCTGCGCAAAACAGGAATCTGAGCTATACTAAAAGAAAGTTGAACTAGTTTATTTTTTGGTAATGGAGTCAATGTGAGCAAGTGCAGAGACAGCAGACAAGTGCTTCTAAGAACTGTAAGATATCACAAATCTATGCAACAAAATTACACTCACTACATCTTCTTACTATTACAAATCGTAACCTCTTATAATAATGTGTTTTACTGATGTCGCTGTCGCTGAACGATGCACAAACTTTTGCGGTTATAAAGAATTTCGAAACACTGCTGCTCCTTTTCATGAAATACAGGGTTTCAAAAGTAAGTGCGCACATTTGTTTGTTGATGATCCCTTCCCACTGAGTCTTTTCCTTAGCTTTAAGTACCGTTTGTCAGGTATAAGGATTAGCTATTCCCTTACTTGATGTGTGGCGGGTTACATAGACTTGAATACTATATTTATTATATATAGTTATAAAAAGGGGGAAAGCGTAGGGGTAAGGCAACCGGCTAGTGCCGGCGGTTGGAGGTCACTGCCAGAGGTTGGCTGTCGTCGGCCAACCTCCTTCTCGAGCAGCTGTTGTAGCCAGCTGCATCCCGGTCCGCCCACATGTATGCTTCAACGTTTGTTTTGAATAGAGGCCAGTCTCCGAACGGGGCCTTATTGAGTGGAGACGCGACGGTGCGACGATGAGGTCAAGAGGACGCAGAGCTCCTAGCGCGAACGAGAGGTTACGACATGGGTACGCTCAGTTGCTGCAATAGTTATGTTGAAATACGCAAACGCGTGCCAAATATGTTGAAATATGCGAGATGGCGTTTTCGGTCAAATTTTGAGAAAGTCTGTGAAAATCTTGTTTTTGAGAGCATTTGCTCTGGGTGAACTCGATTTTTCTCTCCAAAATGTAGGCGTGAGTGCGAGAGTGACATTAAAAGGAAGCTGTACAACGGTGAGTGGGGCAAAACAGTAATTTAGAGCGATATGATCCACCTTCCGCCCCAATTTTGAGAAAATCTCCGTAAATGCTACTTTTGAGCGGTTGTGGCAATACATATATTGTTAATTTGGAAATTCACTTGAGATGATTATAGGTTTGAAATAACATTTATTTATGGGTCTGCCCTAACCCGCTTGTTAGCGACCGTTAGTAGCTAGTCTTATATTAGGTCGTTCCGAAAGTTCTTTCCGTTTTTTCCACCTATCATAAAAACACGAGGAATGAAGATAGGGAAACGCTTCAGGCACTCTCCGACGCAGCTTTTCTTCCTCTTTTCAACTGTCATATTCCTGTGCCGCTTGCTCTTGCGATCAGTGAGATAATGTCTGAAATTTCGAACCCATGGTTTTCACGGTGTCCAACTTTGGCAACTTTTCACAATCTTCTTTTTTCACTTCTGGAGGAGCTTTGATAGCAGTCAGATAGGGCAAACAAAGTGCGATTTAATGCAATTTTCCGGCGCCTATAGCTAGCCTTAAAAATTCTTTAGAATTATTTTTCTGATGCTATCAAATTCCACTTTTGGTAATGCCAAGAATTATAGAACATAAAACAGCGCACAACTAAGAGTCATTCGATGCAGCTTTTCCACTCTTTCTATTGAGTGTTTTTCTTCCCAGTGTGGGAGTTTTTGACGATAATATTTCCGTAATACTTGATTTTGAACTTGCCTAAGGGTGTGCACGCGAAAAGCGAAATCTTATATTTCGAAGCGGTAAACACTGAGTTACATTGTAGAAATAGTGGACAATCATAAACGACTTTTGAAGGTGTCGAAATTCGAAGAATTGTTAATGTTCGGAGAGTTTTTGTGTTTTGTGACTTCGTAAAAGTGAAGACTTCTGGAAAAGTTGTCTCAAAAAATACTGAAAAGCCAGATGAAATTGCCAAAAAATTGCATTAAATTGCACTTTGTTTACTCTATCTGAATGTTATTGAAGCTTTTCCAAAAGTCAAAAAAGAAGGATGTGAAAAATGGCCAAAGTTGGACACCGTGAAAACCATAGGTTCGAAATTTTAGACATTATCTCACTGATCACAAGAGCAATCGGCGCAGAAATATGACAGTTGAAAAGAGGAAGAAAAGCTGCGTCGGATAGTGTCTAAAGCGTTCGGTACCTTCATTCCCCGTGTTTTTGTGATAGGTTAAAAAAACGGAAAGAACTTTCGGAACGACCTAATATATAAAGGTGAATGTCTGTTTGTATGTCTGTGTGTCTGTATGTCTGTATGCTCGAGTCATTTGTAACTTAATATGCTTATTGCACACTATACGCGCTATTTGACGAACTCAAAAGATTGGAACCTGCTCATTTCAGCGACTTCGTCTTGTTTCTTTGCCTCTTTTGGTTTGAACGGACATTGATTAGTTAGTAGTATACACTTTTACACTTTGTTACGCTAGAAAAGATTTGATCGAGAAGTTAATGCTAAGGGTGCCGCCCGTTGAAACTCTTTGTGTGCAGGCTCACGTATTAAGTTACGAATGACTCGACGATACAAATTCCATTTCTGAACCGATCCGGACCAAACTTGGCACAACACACTTCGGGCCGCGGCGGGTGTCATAGGCTACTTTTCGTCATCGATCGATATCGATTTACCGATTTTTATCAATTTTTGCAGAGCTTACCTATGGGGCCGGGAGTTGGCACAGGGGGTAAGTGAGCATGGGGATTCCGAATACAATATTGATTTGCAGAATTATCGATTATTTTGGTTGAATTCAGTGTGCTGATAACAGTATTACCATTGATCTGTCGCTTATGACACATAGACAGTATACTATAGGAGTATGGTAGAGAGTCCGCTGATCGAATTTGTTCTAAGATCTGCTCAAGATCACAATACCGCCCACAGAATGTCAAAAAATCCGTGAACTTCGCGGAATTCCGGGAGTTCCGCCAGAGTGCGCGATAATCCGGGAAGTTCGCGACATTTCAGGATTCGCGAAACCATGCGAATCACGCAGAGCTTTGTGCTCAATATATCAAGGCAAGCCTTTCGATATACAGCTTATCCTTAATATATTCCGATTTCAATATTCTCAAATCTTTCTGTGGACGTCTTTGTCGCGGATTCGCGACTTTCTTCAAAGGTTGCCGCCGCCGCGCTGCGAAGGGGTCCCAAAACGTCGTCTCCGCGCTGTCCCGCCTCTCACCTCTCTCACCTGCGCAGCTTTTGAATAAGTCACGTAGTCAATCTTCGCTGCTGTCGCCATCATGAGCGGTCGGGTTCCAATTCGTCTCAAGAGCCATCGATCGATCAGCGCTACCCCATCTCACGCGTCGCTTCCATCAATGCCACGAGGACTGGCTCCTACGCTACGAGGTAACCCCGAGCGCGCTCGCGCCTGGCACACACGGGCGACACCGCCTCGGGGGGTTTCCGATATTGCCGACCCCTATGCTAACATCTGGTCGGTTGTGCTCATCCTGTATGTTTGAGTGTAGGGATAAGTTGCGGATAAATGGTGGGCATTGTACAGGTGTGATTTGTGTTGGAGCGGTGACCACAGCTCGGCTGCGGCTCCGGGATATTGTGTTATCATTTCATGCGTATTTGTAATTTTTCCTACTGGGAAACATCTGTAGCGTTGACACGAGACCGGTTAAGTGCCTCAGTTATGAGTACACGCCCCAGCTGTCGATGCTTGGAGGCATTGGTCGAGTCGCAAGTGACGAGTCGCTACTAAGCGCTGGTGGCAAGGGCCCCTAAGTGTGTGTGGAGTTCCCATGTGGCAGGCACAAGTAGCGTTTGCACCTCACACGTTACGCTTCACTATTCTCAAGGAGCGGACCCCTGGCTCCCCTCGCCGATGCAGGAGAGCCGCAACACCATGACGTTGGGAGCCGGGGGCCCAATCCGCGACATGGTGCCGTATCGGAATTGAGCATAGGGATAGCAAACCTATGTTCAGCTTTTGTGATCGAGCCCCACCTGTGTAGTCCACATGTGCACGCTTTGCACATTAGTGTCCCTATCTAGCAGTGCAAACCTTATCCCATTTTTCATTTCACATGCTTGGTGTATACATGTTGGTTGCTAGTTTGCGGTTCCTTAGAGGACTCATCTTTCGTTTCATCAATAAGATCTACCGCGACTAGGTTGACGCGAGTACGCGACTACCCACAGTTCCACTTAGATTGGGAGTAGGTGATCCCGTAGACCTGGATGGCAGCAGCAATTTACACCCTGCCTACTGCCCGGAACACTCTGGTGCCTTCTGACGGCCGGGTTTCTCTGCAGCCAACGAGACGTTCAGCTCTGTCTGCCCTGAAACACGCTATCAGGCTGCGAACGAGCCCTGTATGTCATGAGATGAGAGTCTCGCCCCTAATTCCATTTCCCCACATGCTCGCATTGCGCACTCATTCTTTTTCTCCTTTCGCAACTTGTGGCTAGGCTTAGCTAGTTGACGATTCCTTGCAATCGATATTGCTTTCGATCATCGGCACTCACATTCCGTAGTAACTTCTGGGGGTTTCAGTCGTTGCTTGTTGTTCATCGTTTCATGCATTTCGCTCGTGTATTGTGTTCACCATTTTGTGTGACTACGTCCGGAAGTAGTCACACCCCCATCGAACATACTCATGTAGCACAATTTCAGAATTTGGGTCTGCAGCTATTACCTCCTGCAAGTTTACGAGTCAGCGCGCTATCGATCGATATGGCTACCGTGCAATCCTATATCCCGAAGGTCGTCAAAGCCATCGAGGACCTGGAGGCGATTAGGAAACAGGTAAGTTCCGATCTGCTTGCCCCGTACGTGTCTGACGCCCCAGTTGCTGAGCAACTCCATCAGCTCCAGGCAACGTCAGGCAGCCACACAGTTCTCTATAGTGAGT